AGCGTTTCAAGGTTTTTTATGTTGGTCTGGCTTAAATGGACTAACGAACTCAACTATTGATAATGAATTATAAGATAACAAGTCATATTTTACATTAATTCGTATTATCAATGAAAAACCATTCATTTTATGCGTTGCTTGTATATCCAAATGTATAGATCATCATTACTGTATTATACTGTGATGTGTGCTACCAATGTTGACAGATATAGGTAGTGTGTATCATAAATAGAAAGTGAAATGCCTGGAGGCAGAAGGTTAAGAAGTTCGATGAGAAGGGAACTAGAACAGTGAATGATTGGTGTGGAAACGAGAGTGATGAAGTCTGAGAAAATTGGCTGATATTTGCAAAAGGGAACAGTAAAGTTTTAGACAATTGATTGACATTTTGCAGATAAAGTATTTACCATATAGTTCTCACATTTTACCAAGACGCTCTGTAATTTTGTGTACAAACACATTCGATTGCCGTCACTTGTGTTTGTAGTGTTAGTCATCAGTTTTAGCCCATAATATATCTTATTCTAGTTTCCGGACATTCCATTCCATTCATTCTACTTGAGTCATGTTTTGACCTTGTTACTTATTCGCTTATTAGCCTTGACTGTTTTCATATGAGCGTATATGTGTGTACACTTCATGTCCCATGACTCATCACATGTCTGTAGTTTATTTTGTCTGCCTATAAATATTGAGTAATGCCCGGCTTGAAATGGAGTTGGCTTCCCAGCCATCTTCCATACGTGTCAAAATTGCTTTGTTATGGCTCTCGCTCGCTTGCTTGCCTTTCAGCACAACTCTTCTATGCTTGTTAGACGCATCTGTACATTTGGATATATGTGTGTGGTCTCGTAATAAACGTAATCAACACTTCGTATTTGTCTTCTGATTAATAGACCGTTGGGACGTTATATAGAACGGTTATCAAGACGAGCTGTATACGAAGTTTAAGGATTATATCGAATACCGGCCACCACATAATTGGTAAGCCCGCCGACGACGAACGCAACGCAGCAAGCTACGTCGATGAAGGAACTTCTGCACTCTATACGTTCGACGTACAAATTCAGCGAAGCCAGCGCAATATCCAATCCGATGCAATCAGCAAAGCCTGTGCATCATGGTATGGACATGCTCAAGTCGTATTATCTTATCGATACTTTGTACTCACGTCAACCATTCTCATTGATCCATTCGTCGGTTTGCTCCATTACGATACAAATTATCATTATATGCTTATTATTACATTATTGCCAATATCATGACCGAATGTGGAATTATTAATCTTGTTCGTGCTGTCATTAAATTATGACATTTTCGCAATCATATTACTCACCGAACAAATTATCATTTTATGAAAATTCCACTCCACTTTGTGAGAACTCATTGGGATATTTTTACTGTTCAAAAACGTGAAATTTTCCTGCTTTAAGTGAGTTCGTTCCAATTTTTCATGTCATTTTGATCTAATATTACATTCATTCACTTAGTCGAGGTCAGCAATTTATGTTATCACAACATACATTTTTCGTTTCGAAATCGCCTCCTATTATGTCTGTGGATGCTTCTAACTAGCTGACTAGTAACCATTACGTTCATTTTATCTATTCTTCCACGTGCATAACTACATTCTGCATCACTTATCACTCGAAAACGCTATTCGAGTACTGCAACTACTATTCTATCTCCATCGCACTGCATATCAGAACATAGAGTTTAGAGCTAGTCTCTCAAAGATACACTCTTGTTCGTTACATCCAAGTCAGTCTCATACGTCGCCATCACTAACCATATGTATTGGTATTTTTGTCATGCCTTGGTACGGTTTTGTAACAAACGAGATCGAGCGCATCTCCCTCAAACCACACAAACCACTCAAAGCTTCATGACCAAAAAGGAATACGACTCTACGTACCTTGTCTACTCAGTCACTATTCTGTTCCTCTGGTCATTCTTCTACTAATACATATTTAATGATAACTCAATGCATCTGGCATGACGCAGACGACAACGTCCACTGACTTCAAATTTTATGATTATTATCAATTGCAGTGCAGCAACGAATATCACCCATCGATGCAGATATCATTTCACGACTTGACTATTATCATCCTACGAACGGGAATTACACATTTAAATTCGAATTCACTCATCACTAGTCGATGCTACTTATTCTGCTGCGGCTCAACAGAACATATATTTAACGTATTCCACTATTTCGTCAGCATCACAGACCAATTTCTGTCATACTCTACTGTACTCATTTTGACGATTTATTTCCCTGTCATACCCACAAACAATTTATTACTATTTTCACGATAATTTGAATCACTCATACAAACGTGTTATTTTATCGTTCAGACAGTCATAGCATTAGTACATGTTAATTTTTTGTACGCTCATTAATTTGCTCATATCCGCATGCTAACGTTTCCATTTTGTCCGCGTCTTTTCTATATTCATGTATTCTTTTGCATAAGTATGACATTTTCATATAATACACTCACCCCTCATGTGACACTGTACTTCATCGAGTGTTGTAAATTTTTTTTGGCTACTTGTTGTTAACGTTAACTACGCATCACTTCAGTGTTATTTTCGAAAACAGACATTTTTTAAATGTGCTATTTTCTACAAGGGGGCTATGTAGTGTTAGTCATTAGTGGCCACTAAAGTGGTGAGCCCGACGTGATCTGACTCCATTTAGAGCGTATGGAAGATGGCTGGGAAGCCAACTCCATTTCAAGCCGGGCATTACTCAATATTTATAGGCAGACAAAATAAACTACAGACATGTGATGAGTCATGGGACATGAAGTGTACACACATATACGCTCATATGAAAACAGTCAAGGCTAATAAGCGAATAAGTAACAAGGTCAAAACATGACTCAAGTAGAATGAATGGAATGGAATGTCCGGAAACTAGAATAAGATATATTATGGGCTAAAACTGATGACTAACACTACATGGTCTTGTCAACTACAATACTAAATAAAAAACTGTAAATTAACATGAAATCAATATTTCAGCTCGAATCATCTTTATTTCTTACGTGTTTATGTGGTGTTAAGTAAAACAATGGAAAGTCTGTGGTTAACAAAAGTGAGTTACACAGTGTGCTATTATTTAGTATTTCGGTGACAATATATACTTCTTGAATAGATAATTTGTTAGTCTTAACTTACGTTTTTCGTATATGGGAGTATAAGAACTTAAGGGTTCTTCATTCGTACAAATATTATTACTAAATAACCAGTCTTCTGAATCCCGAAAGGTATGTTTTCAACAAGTTGACGCTTAACTTATTCTTATTCGAACGCTTGGTGATTCATAAGCGGCAATGTTAAACATTTTATCTAAGTAAGATTGCTACTTTATCGGGTAATGCCTCTGAGGAAAAATACATTTTACTAAGTTCAGGTAGATAGTTTTTGGTCGATAAAATTTTATCTCGTTTTTGTTACTCTTGTCATGTGTATTTCAGTCTTTCGTTTGCACAGTGGGAACTTTCAAGTACAAGTACAATCTCAAAAGTATCATCACACTAACCATTTTTAGTTCACAATATCGGTAATGACGATATACGTTTTACTGTTTTACTGGTGACTAATTTAGTCTACTGGTGCCTATAAAACTCTCTTTTTTGTTTTTAAAAATACAGTGCCATTTAAGTAGTTCAGCTTTTAATGTTCTGATGCCATGTTACTAGTAGAAAATTTGACATCTCAAGCCACGTATATGGTGAATTTTTTGGATGAACAATTTGAAGCCCATTTGTGATGATCAAATTAACTCATATTGATCAACACACAAATCATTCTACTGATACATGAATATCAGTGGCTATTTTGATGTGAACTTAGAAGAGAATCAAAGGTGCTGATTTTGAGAGAACTGGACATATTTTTGTTTTGATTTCATTTCTCAGTTGTTTTTATCCTGTTGTTTAGCACGATTCTATTGAGATCCATTGGTACTATGTAGCAAAATTATGCCTGATTGTGGTCTTCTCTTACATATCTACCAACTGTACTTCTGGTTTGATACATAATTAGGTCCTATGGATAGCACATCCCGACAGTATCATTAGTGTTTTAGTAATGATGACTGGTAATCCATTTTATAATCTAGTAATCAGATTTTCTTAATCAGCAACAAGTTAAAATGTGGGTGAAATACTGTTGGATAAGCTTTAAAAGCGCACACTACTCAGTTATAAGATGAATACACTATTTGTATGTTTGCAGGGGTATTGTGGTGCAAGAAAATCTGATTTATTTTAACTTGGAAAATTATCAGTCAAGATGTTTTGAAATCTTGAGATTTTAGGACAACTATCCATTGATTCTTCTAAGAACTGATTTATAAACAAAATAGACACCTAATTCCTACTTGATCCCATTTAACTATTAAAACACAGTACAAACTTCAATTGTTTCTTTCATTCTGTTTTTTTTCTCTACTAAAGTTGATTATTTAACATGAATATAACTAAAATCAAATTATTAAATATTTCGCAAAAACAAAAAAAAAAGAAAAAAAGAGTGATTATTCTTATTAATTGAAATAAAGATAAGGGTTATGAAAAAAAAATAAGCGAAGAGAAATTGAGTATGAAAGAAAAAAAGGGTAAATGAAGAATAGAATGGGAAATGTAGTTTTTACCTCTGTTTTCTTTTTGAATAATTTTACAGATACTAATAAAAATTGAAAACTATTAAACAGTCTATCTGTTGTTCTAAATATATATATATATACGTATGTTGAAAAGAGAAGTCGGTTTTTGGTTAATTCAATTAGAAAGGTTGTATGTCAGTGACATATTTAAGGAAAAAACTGAATTTCTTATTACACATAATTGAACAGAATTAATCGTGTCCGATTATTTTAGCAGTAGTAATAATTATAATAATAGTAATGTAAACATAACCTAGAATAATTGTCTTACAGAACGATTATATGCAATATATATATATATATATATATATATATATATATATATATATATATATATATATTGAAGAGTAAGGCGTGTAAACAAAACACATCTATGTATCCATGTGTGTGTGTGTGGGGTATAGCTGTATATTCGAACACTGTTCTGTGAAATTTCTCTGATATATTATTTGTAAAGTTTTTTTTTGAATAATTGGAATTGTTTGAGCGTTTCTAGTGGATTTATTTGAGTTTTTCGGTCGGGTAACATGTATTCATAGTAGCGGTGTGGGATATAAAAGTAGGGATTGGGATGAATTTACTATATTCATGTTATTTAATGAAATGATAGTAAGAATAATATTTGAATTAATTGTTTTATTACCCGACCTGGCTACTACTATACGGCATTTGTTCCTCGATTAACATTTTCCAAAAATCTATTGATATCTTCTTCAGTGCCAGTAATTTTAGCATGTCTATAATTACTCCATAATGTTGCTGTTACATCCAATGCAATTAAATCACTAGAAACCCTAGAAACAACTTGTAATATTAGTACACCATCTGGACCAAGATTATAATTTACAAATCGTGTACAATCTCTTTCTTCAGTATTGGAAAGTTGTCGAATAGCTCGAATATATTGTTTTATATAAGCTATTCGTCTAACTGGTACAAGTGTGTTGAAAGCCCATTGAAGTGTACTTAATATGGTGACAATTGAAAGAATCACAAACCAGAACCATAGAAAGACATATACTTTTTCCACAAAATAATTAATTGGCAATACACATTGAAGAGTATAGCTGTTGAAAAAAGAAAACAAAAGAAAGAAAATGCGTGAAAAAACGAATAATTAAACATGCATTGAAACTATTCGATTATCAAATCTTTCAAAATTATATGAACAAGTACAAATACAATGACATTTTGATTGAGAATATGAAGTGGTCAGTATAAGACTATCATGGAAGATCTAGATGCATTGGGCGGCCATCTTGTCAGCAGTATACATCCACGCTCCCACACGTGAGACTTGAACCCAGGACTCATCGGTCGTGCGCGCGAACGCCTAACCTCTTGACCACTGAGCCGGCATCCAACAGTGGAATTGTCCAACTTAAATTAATCCACGATGAAATTTGTATAACAACAGCATAACTCAAATTTGAAAGTTGGTTAAAACAAACGTTCTCTGGAAAAGTGATTTTGATAATTATTTGCCTGAATTTTGGAACAGTTATCAACTTAATATTAATCTCACTTCTTTTTAGTTAAAAATAATGAGCTCGGAAGGTGTACATACTTAGATATTTATTCCGATAATGAGTGGAAATAAGCAGGAAATTGGACATCCTAAAGATTGTACTACTTTCTGTTTCATTTACCAAATCAATTACCAAAAGGAAGCAAAAGCTAGGTATAATTCGCTTTCTTCTTATAAGCGTTGAACCTTCATACTTCATCAAGTATGATAATTAACTTAGAATGAAATAACTATAAGTAGTCTCTATGAGTTTCAGTAATTTTTTTGTTGAAATCAGTATGAGAGGCTATCTATTCAAAAGTGAGTATTTTATTTTTTAAATGGATAACTTGTCTGTTGAATAGTGTATATTTTTGGATGAATAAATTTTCACTACTTATTATCGTTATGCAAGCATGTAAAGAATGAATGGTTGAATTCAGTAATAATAGTTCTTAAAAATACGGACATATCTTGTAGACAAAATAAGTTAGACTACTCAATAATTTAAATGAAACCAATAAATTAGGACAGCGTAGTTTAACTGATTAGTATACTGTCCGTATAGACAGCACAATTGTAAGTAGTTATTTCATCAATGACGCGTGTAAGATTAACTTGCCAATCATTTAACATCCATTGTTTTGTCATCTACCCATATGAGTAATTCAAAGCGAGTAAGTTGCATTGATTTCAGTACTTTTTACTATCGTTTTGAACGTCTTATTAAATTTTGAATTCTGTACGCTTAATTCTATCGCTTTTCAAGTTGTAAGTAATATTTCTGCTCCAAACCTTGATATTTGTGTAGTATTTCTAAATAATTTTCTATTGTAATTCATCAATGGTTTACTTTCTATGAGAACTTAGCAGCTTTCAGTTTTTAAAAATGTATACACATGTTGACAGTTAATATAGACTGCATCAAGTATACCACTATTGGTTAATTTTACGGCTGATATTCACTGTGCGCTAACTCTTAATCAAAGAATGTTATTTTGAATAATTCTTTCTTGACAAGCTTTAAAAACTTCGGTTATCGCATAATAACGTAAACATTTCGACTGTTGAGTATGACATAAAAATGCGAACTTATAAAACAATTCCGATTGATTAAACCATATATAAAAAATATAATTATGCTAAGGCAGTGAAAATACGTAAAAATGCCATTCTCTAAAAACTCAGTAAGTCTATTATTATCCAAGAACTTTTTTATACCGTCTCTATTGCAAAGTTGTATTTGACACATTAACCACTGAGATTACTTTCAACTCCCGTAAATTACAGTTAGTTAATCACAAGCTTTTTATTCAGTTTAGTATCATAAATGTTTTAGTGTGTTGGGAATTGAAACTTGGTATTTATGAAGAGTTATCACTCATCTTTTTATGTATAATGAAATAATTTTTAGTGTTTTATTAGTGAGAATTAGTGCGAGACGTTTATTTAATCATACTGGTATTTTGATTGAAATATTTAATAGACTATTGTTCGGTATCTAAAGTTTCAGAGTACACATTGTAAGTGGAGAGTATGAAACGAAAATCCACAAAAAATGTTCTTAATAGATAAATTATTCGTCGGGTATTTCAATACCTGCTTTTCCCTGTTGTAAAATCTTAATTCAACGTTTGTTCATTGGGAGAAAAAAAATGTAGGCTAACAACTGTAAGTTAACGCCCTACAACAAAGATGATGAAAGTGGCAGTTTATTCCTTCAACACATGTCTGAAACAATTTATCTGATGTGCTACTTATACAGATCTTCATCGCCTTTCTATAATTATTCATCGCTTTTACGTTCAAGATAGAAGGAAAAAACAATGAATTAACTAGATCAATGTTAAACATGACGGTTTTTTTCCAAGTACTTAACGAAATCAAAACCAAAAAAAATTTGATAAAATCAATAAATATACTTTTAACTAAAATGAAAATTATTTTTTCTGTGCTTCATAAGAATTAATTAAATTTTCATAACACACAATTTTACATTCACATACATACAACAAACAGAATAAGGGCGAGATTTGTATAAATGTTGTTAGAGCAAATCAGGAAGTGTTTACTATTGTTCAGTTATCGAGATAATTTTCCCTTGGGCATTGTTTATATATTTATATATATATAATGTTGAAGGGAATTCTGCATTTGACTGATATCAAAATGCAGTTTTTACATTTACAACTCGGCATCTATTTATCCATTTATTTATCTTTAGAAATTTAATATAATTTTAACTATCGTTTGTTCACTTTCTTACAAACACCAATAATCAATGGAAAATTAATTTTCCATTTTTGATTTCTATGCCTAAAACTATAATCTCTATATTAAGTACATTTAATAATAGTTAATTATAAATTTTTGAGTTCTATTGTGACCTATATATGTTTAATACTGAATCATTGTGAATACATGGTGATCAGTCAGAATGAAATAATTGTGTTAATGTTTATTGATGCAATGTAGGCAGGTTATTTGAAAACTAATGTAAGAGTTGTTCGCGACAGATTCATCGTAATTAATAGTAAATACTAAAACAAAAAGTGTAGTGCAATGATTTTGAAGACGATTATAATATACTATAAAGTTTATATGATAATAATACAGCTAAGGTATACCAAAAAAAATTATTGTATACTTGAATTTCGATACTAATCAGTATCAAATAATATATGATATGATATCGAAGCCACCGTAAAACGGAGTGAGTATGCTAACATTATTAAAGCTACAATCAGTGATATTAACAATACTAGGAATACAAAACTCATTTATATACAGATTGAGGAGAAAAATATCTGAACCAAAGTATATCTTGATCTCGAATTCTGGATTATCAATGTATATATATATATATATATATATATATATATATATATGATCGAATTTTGTTTAATCTATTTAATTATCAGTATAGGGAGATGGAGGATCACCGATCGATGAAGTTTAGACCACCATCAAAACCTGGAAGCACTAGATGGCTGTCTCGTCCTAGTATGGGACCACTCAACATTGTGCACCCACGATTCCTTACACTAGATCCGCCGTGTCGGATGTGAGACAGTTACCAAACATTATCAAAGATGGCCACATAATATCGTGGATTAGTTGAAGTTAGTCATTAACACTGTTGAATCAATGGTTTAGAGGTTAAGAGTAGACGCCAGATCGACGATCCCAGGTTCGAGTCCCGCGTGCTCTGTTGAGGAGATCCATCCTAGAACAAGTCGGCCATCTAGTGCTTCCACATTTTCATTGGTGGCATAACATTGATTGGTTCATAATTTCAATCATTTAATTGTATTTCTAAAAGCTCGAGAATGCTAAGACTTTAATCATTGGGTTATCGATTTACACCAAATATATACAATGAGCAAAAAAATTGCAAAATGCTTGTAAAGTCATATTTGGTTTACGTTAAACTTTGCGAGCGTTAAATACAACGAAATTATATAAATTAACTCAAATAATTGTATCCATATTATTGTCATAGATATATATTTTATTCAAAAAATTTATGAACAGTGACCTTTGATTTATTTCACACAATATGACACAAACAGATAATTATAAACATATGTCGGTAATCTGTGTTAAAATATGAAAACTTAAGTAATAACAGAATGTAACAAAAACTACAAAGTTGTTGGAAAATTTTGTTAATCCCGATAATAAAAATGATCAGATCAACGTTTTTGAGGCTACTACGTTTTACTTATGAAGCATGTCTAAGTAATTTCCTTAAGATTATTCTAATGAGGATCTTTGCATTCTTTTAACTGTTGTCCCATTGATGTTAATTGCTAACCACTTGACTGACTTTCAAATTCAATGACTATTGTTTTGAAACCACATAACATGGCCCTTTTTTCGCTATTCTTTATACTGAGAGTTGTGTATGTTGCTTACTTTGTAGTTTCACTTCAAGGATTGATTTTAATCAAGCAGATAGAAAAATCAGAAAACAATGGACTGTTCTTTTTTAAATGATTGTTATGCTTGTTTACCACTCTTAAAGTTTGCTACATCTCTTATCAGTTTTCTCTGTAATCTGTCCATAAGTTTTGATATACATTGTGGTTAAAATTTTGAGCCCTGTAACTATCATTGTTGTAAGCATTCTCATTAAGTTTCAAGTAATCTCATAGATGATTAGACTTCTTAAAATATGATTAGACTTTCTATTTTACTGTCAGTTGTGATTCCCGTTTATTAGTACAAGTCAATGTTGAGAACCTTAATAATAAGAAATATTTCTCACCTGATCATGTTTTTTATACCAATGAATGTTTGAAAGTGTTTTAAATACCAAGATAATACGAATAAAATTGTGAATAATAGTTCCATTATAAATTGAATTCTGGAACTAAACATACACTAAGTATTGCAAGGAAAAATATTGTATTTTGTTAACTGTTACTTAGATGTTATGGTTTAGATTACGCCTTAGTTAAATTGACTAGTCGGTTTGACAAATAAAGATCAGTATACAAACTGATTTTCTAAAACAATTCTGTGCAGTTATTTTTTATTCGGCCAATCAATCGAATC